AGTACAGTACTCCATATAATCTTTATTTTTAGCAGTCGTTTTTGACTTCAAACTTTTCCAAAGTGTCATAAAACAGTTCTTGTTAGTTAGATGCAGCGGATATCTAACTTAGTTGTCAATAATTAACTGCTTGATTACCAGACTTATTACTCCTTTCTCCTCCTTTTGTTTCAAAATGTAAGTGTTCTTTTGAACCAAAACTTAGAGTTTAAGTAATTTACTTTCAAGTTTTAAGGTGTTTGAGTTAATTAATCGAGATTTTAAGTTCTATCAATATTTTGAAAAACCCTCCACCTCTAATCCCTTAAATTGTAAATTGTTAAAAAAAAATAAACAAAAAATAATTGTTATTTTTAATTAAAAGCTAAAAATGACAGTTTAAATTAAAATAACAAAAGATACAATAAAATTATAATTAGTAACAATATAATGTAAAGGTGTTTATTTTGATATTTTGTAAATAATTATCAATTGGTAATTATAATCAAATGAATTAAACATTTTAAATTATAAATAATAACAATTATCAATTATAAAATATCAATTGTCAATTTTTTTATAACAATTGACTATCAATTATCAATTACATTTAAATAACTAATTCAAACATCTCATGGTATGCAAACAAAAGTTCTTGTGATTAGTACTAGTTTTTTTTTAAACAGTATAAAATAATACAAAGATAAAACACATCATAACTTTAAATTTAATTAATTTAAAGTTATGTAAAATCATATATATATAGATGTATATACCACTTAACTCACATGTAAATAATATGTGATGAGTACTAATTTGTACAATCTTTCTGCTCTAACCTTAATCAATGTTGATTAAATTGCAAATATTAAGTTTAATGGTTCTAGTTTTTTCTCTTTTTTTTTGAAAGTAAGTTTAATGGTTCTAGTTAAATGACCGACAAACCCCATGTTCTCTATTCAAAAAAAAGCTGACATTTTATTTATTAAACTGATGCATATGAGTTGTCTTGACTCTTGATCCATGTACACAACATTAATCTCGCCCGTATCATATTCATACTATATGTTTGTTTTTAATTCGTTTGAGTACCAACTCCTGTGCTCATTCCCTAATCCAATTGGATTGCAAAACGACCATTATTATCATTAATCACATTACATTAGACAAAGAATGAACCAAAAAGAGAAAGTTTAGGAAGCCATATTATTAAAAAGAAATTAAAAAAACTTAATTTATTAGTAGAACAAGTAAGGAATATATTTAAAATTTTACAATATATCCTTTTTGGTGTAAGCCTATAAGGTATTATTTTCCCATATATATTTTGGCAGGTCGACCCCTAGATGTATATTAAAAGGTTTGAAAAACTGATTTCATTTCTAAAATTTAAAATTTAAAATTAGTATGAATGATTGTATCAATGATTTTTACTGTTTTTTTTAAAAGGACGTTTTACAGAATTCTTGCTCTAAAAAATTCTGGTGATATCATGATAACCATAAACGTGGATTGTTAAAAGTTGCATCATGAAAATCTGACCATTGTTTGTGAAGTTCTTTAAGCATAACAATCACTTAATTTAATTTGGATTTATATAATGTTAACTCAATGGCCAAAATTGACTCTCTATCCAGGATCTGTACCCTCATATTCGGGCATTTTGAATCATTCTCAGAACATTACAGCCCATGTTGATCAATTACAGATCATTAATTTCCTCTATGCACTAATTATAGGAAATTAAGAACTAAATCCATAATTATTATGTAAAAAGAAAAATAATATTTTCTGAATAAATATATAATTGCAGTTGACAATGGAGTATTAAAATCAGTAATGCTTTAGTTATAATATCATATAAGATCATAAATTTATAATTTTGACACGATATTAAATAAGTGTAACATGTTATTAAATAAATATATACACATACAATATCACGAGTGGATTTATAAATAAAAAAAATTAATTATATAATGATACATAATATTATAAGTTTATAGTATCAAGTGGTATTGTAATTATATTATTTTCATATTTTAATATGAAAATGAATAACTCTTTTTATAAACTTACAACATATTATTATATAATTAACTTTTTTAATTCAAAATCTACTTATGATATTATATGCATTCATTTATAACATAATTTGTTAATTTACAGTCTTACATAGTATCATACATAATTGTTTTTAAAGAGCAGGTACCACTATAAAATTGTTGATTAAAATAATTAAGGATAGCTTTTTTTAATTGAAGTCTCAACCTTGGCTTTCTTAGTCCTCAAACTGTGGCTACAGATGGGTGCATTTTCCTTAGTTGAATAATGTATCAAGGTCAAACCCTGCAGCATTGTGTTAGCAAAGTCAACATGATTAACGGTAAGTCGGCACAGATTTAAACCGTAAGTAACAACTATAGATTGTAAATGAAAACAGAAGTAACAGAGAGTGGACAAGATCCCACATTTCACTAACCTTTCCTACGTGTGATTTACAGATTTATGGTGTAAAAGAGGGCAATAGCTTGTTACAGCTTGACAAGTTGTGCTACCTGTTGTGTAAAGAATAATCCTTCTCAATATGACTTGAGTGGTTGCCAAACCATTCTTTTCGTGGGATGTAACAGGGTTAGATCATAAGTTCAAGTCTAGGTTGTTTTCTTCGTATATCAACATTAAGATATAATGTGAATCTTGACATTAATTGTAAAGTTATTTTGTTTAACATTGGAATTTGGATACAATTATGGACATATAGACCTTAATTGGGAAAACTTTACTTAGTCAGGGTTTATCTCATGGTTTGTAGGAATGATATCCAATGATCATAAGCTCATGATTAGTACGTGGCAGCCAATGGAAAATAGGGTTTTAATTAACTAAATGATAATGATTAATTAGTTATGGGACACCTGAACTGGGTATGCTTTTGTTGTGGGTTAGCATTTAGCTCAAGAAAGCTATAAACAAAGGCATTGACCTTGTTTAATTTGTAAATAATTGTCACCGCCCATTACCAAAGTAGAAAGTCCAAAATAAGAGAGAGGGTTGACTAATATTGGGGGAAACCTCGCTATAAATAGAGTCAAACACCTTCCTTTCTTCTCCACCATTGCAAAAAACTAGAAATATTTGCTAAAGCATTTCTCACTTAAAAGTTAAAACCACTCTCTCTATTCACTTCAATGGCGATTCCGGTGATTGATTTCTCTAAGCTCAATGGTGGGGAGAGGGCGAACACACTTGCTGAGATTGCAAATGCCTGTGAGAATTGGGGATTCTTTCAGGTATGGAATGGGGATTTTTTTTTTTTTTTTTAACATGGTATCAAAGCTTAAATTTATTCATTTTATATTTGTTTTTGGCCTCTTTTTGTTTTTGGTTTTTAGTATGTATTGTTGAATTTGTGTATGTTTGTTAATAGTTGGTGAACCATGGAATTCCGGTCGAGTTGCTTGAGAGGGTGAAGAGAGTTAGCTCCAATTGCTACAAGGAGGAGAGGGAGGAGAATTTCAAGAGCTCCAAACCGGTCAAGTTGCTGAAAGATTTGGTGGAAAAGAATGGCAGTGAAAGGTTGGAAGATGTGGATTGGGAGGATGTCTTCACTCTCAATGATGACCAACATGAATGGCCATCAAAAACCCCTGGATTCAAGTAAGACTTCACTTCATACATCCAATCTCAAATCGAGAAAATAGTGTTAATGTGAATGATATATAATTGTTGAATCTACAAATAACTACAATTTGAGCTAAGTTTTTATGCGCCGCGTGTAACCTGATTGGAACATAGAATCTAATTTTTGAGGTTGGTGTGCAGGGAAAGAATGGCGGAATACAGATCTGAGTTGAGGAAATTGGCTGAGAAAGTGATGGAAGTAATGGACGAAAACTTGGGCCTGCCAAAGGGATACATCAAGAGAGCATTCAATGGAGGAGATGGGGAGGAGAATGCTTTCTTTGGCACCAAGGTGAGCCACTACCCGCCATGTCCACACCCTGAACGGGTGAACGGCCTCCGAGCACACACCGATGCAGGCGGCGTGATCTTGCTCTTCCAAGATGACGAGGTGGGAGGACTTCAAATCCTAAAAGACGGACAATGGAGTGACGTCCAGCCATTGCCAAACACCATAGTCATCAACACAGGGGACCAAATAGAGGTTTTGAGCAACGGCAAATACAAGAGTGTTTGGCACAGGATTTTGGCCACCCCGGACGGGAATAGGAGATCAGTTGCTTCATTCTACAATCCATGGATGAAGGCTACCATAGCGCCTGCTGTGGAGCTGGTGGAGAAGGCAAACCAGGAAGCAAATCAAACTTACCCCGAATTCGTCTTTGGGGACTACATGTCTATCTACATTGAACAGAAGTTCCTGCCCAAAGAACCAAGATTCCAGGCTGTGAAGGCAAGACAAGGGGCAGATAGAGATGGGATTAATTGATTTTCAGCTGTGGTTTGTGGAAAAAAAAATGGAGTACTGGTAGCATTGTTTCTTACTATTGACTAAGTTTGGTGTTTCGAGAATGTAATCCAATTTTTTTTTTTTTTTTTATAAATGTAAATTAGCTGTGCTTTTCTTTCAATTAATGATCTAACTAAGATGTTTGAAAAATGAATACATTCACTCTATGTATATTCAAGCATCATCGATGGCTGTTTCAATTTTAAGTATGTATGGGTAAGTCAGTAATTCAGACAAACCTGCTTCCTGTACCGTGGATGGAGAAAAATGATGTTCAGTTTCAGAGACACTACAGGGCTTTCTGATCAAGTCTCTCATTCCAATTTAGGCAGCGAATCAAGCTGTGGAACCAATCACCTGTTTGATCTGATTTGTTGACTGTTGGAAGGGGATGCTGGCTCATGGATATTCTAACAGAATCCCCCCTTGAAAGTTGCTGCCTTCTCTTCCCATCAAAAGAAACCCATGCATTACTTCTAGCGTTATCTGGGATCTGTGAAATCACAAAAGCAACAATGCGTACACACTTACAAGGATTAGATATAAGACCAAAAGAAAAAAAGCCAGCAATATCCTTTTTGTAGCGTCATCTAGAGGATGCTGATTGTGTTCTTTCAACCACGAGTGGTATGTTTGTATATAAATCACTATACCTTCAATTCAAGCCTCGCAGAATCTGGAAGAATAACTGGCCTAAATGAGAGGGAGTGTGGACAGATTGGTGTAAAAAGCATGCAAGGAACATTTGGATGAACCTGCATTACCAAATTTCTATCGTTACTTGCATAATATCCACAACATTTTTCATGAAGAAATTATATTGATATGATTGGCAATAGGAGCAACCACTATTAATCTTTTCTGGTATATCAAATAAAAATAAAAATAAAAAATTTTAAACTAATTTCTCAAGATGAGAGGCTATGAGACTCCCAACATTGTAGTTCAGTCTTGAAGTAGCTAATCAACAAAAGCCTTTAGTTACAGAGATATTTTTGATTTCTTCTACACATAATAACATATTTTTTTTCTGTTTGCTACTATCATTATCACCACTATATTCTGTTACATTTTTTAATGTTTCAATCAAAGAGACTGATATCATGTGAATGTACCATTTGCCAGAGGGAATTTTCCTTCAACACAAGAAATCTTAAGGAAGTATCTGCCAAAGTTATTGATATAGAAAAAATTTGAACAAATTAATTTGTTAATACATGAAACACTCTAAATGTATATACCAGTTGGTTTTATCAATCCTGTTAACAACAAACTAGCTAACTTCAATGTTCAATCTGTTTATAAGGGTTTCGACATGATAGAAGAGGATAAAAGAGAAGTCACATTGTATAAGGGGCTGATTATTCAAGCAACATGCATAGAGCAAACAGGTAATATCATCTTCAAAAAAAGGGTTCTAGAACTGTTAAGGATTTCTCCATTTATCAGTCATGATCACAGATCAGCAGTGAATAGGTTTTCTTGTGACTCACAAATGGAAACAAAAAGAAGAAGAAGAAGAAACTAGCTATAGGTATATTTCACCTACGGGGAAACCAAGGTTTATGCTTGGAACAGTACTAGGTTTCTTTTCTGGTAAAAAGATGCCGTTTGAAACTCAAAAAGACAATCTTACCATGGAACCTCCAGCAGCTGTAGAGTAAGCAGTACTCCCTGTAGGTGTGGCTACTATAACTCCATCACCTTGCACCTGAAGACAAAGTTTTCATTAAATAAAACCATGGAAGTATCATAAATAATGTGACAATCTTTCAATCTTTTTCATTCTATACAAGATATTTTAGCATGAAAAGATGGAATAAACAAAATTGCTTAGGCTGGTTACAACAGATGTCAAATTAATTAAGTCAAGAGAAAATGTATAGCTCACTGCACATGTGAAAGTTATGAATTATTTTTCTCCTTTATTTAGATGTATGGTCACTAATCTCACCTTGGTTATAAGTCGATCATGTTCATAACATTCAATCTTAGAAAGGTATGGATTGGAACCCCTATCAACAACAACCTCATTCAGGATATCAAATACTTTCCCAGGAACTGCTTTACCATTTCGAAAAATTTCACATCGGAGTCGCATCCTAAGAGTTATGTAGACGGCATCTGCTGTGTTATTTCCATGGATCACTTGTTTCAAGTCCTGCCTGTAGTCTTCAAACTATAGCAAAAGAAAATATATGTTGAAAAAAAAACATGCCATGCAAAATAGAATCAAATTTCCAGTTAGAAAAACTGTATAGCTGAGAAACTTACAGTGTGGGAAGTGAGAAATCCAAGAGATCCAAGATTAAATGATACAACAGGGGGGACAGGACCTCTAAACAAATTTGATGCATGCAATATAACCCCATCTCCCCCCAAGCATGCCACAAAATCAACCCTCTCATGGAGATCACTGCCACAACGACACAGAACAAGTGAATTCCCAAACATTATACAATCGCCTCTGCTGGACAAAAATATAACATAATGTTGAAGTACCTGGTATCCTGACTATAAAAGGTTTGAACAAATCCAAAGCCTGGGATTCTAGAAAATATGTCATGCACATTGGGTTCAACAAGGACATTCATTTTCTCTTTGTAATATAAGAAAGAAGCAACCTGTAAATCATAGATAAAAATTGAATAGAATGGCCAGATACAAATCAAAAAGTGACTGCTGACTCACATATAAACTTTATGATTTCCTATGAATATTGTCTATCTCACACACTCTGATCCATTTTATTAGTATTCAATTATGATAGAGTTCAATAAGCAAATCTTCATTTGCAACCAAAAAAAAAAAAAAAACCAACAACAACAACAACAACTAATTAAACAACCAATGAACCACAGCTTTTGTGATTAAGGGTGTTTGTTACCAAGGAACTGGATGCATTATAATATGACTTTAAAAAATAAGGCACTGAGCATAATGAAGCAATTGCCAGCCCTAGCTGCCATTTTTCTTCCAAATGAGTCAAATGACATGAAATCAGAAGATGAGTTGAAATTCAAGAAGAAAGAAAGGGGTGCAAAATCAAATAAATTTCTACTAGATACATGATAATAAGTTTTCAAATGGCACCTCTTTAGCTTCTTCCATTAGTTCCTGCCCGAGCTTCTTCAATAATAATACAGTCTTTGGTCTTGACTTCCACATAAGCATCTGTTGCTGGGTGCTAGGATGTGTGAAAGCCAAGGAGGCTTCAGTCACCTTTTCTCTGGTGCAGGAGAATCCATCTGTTCTCACTAAAAACATCTCTGCTTTCTTTCTTGACTGCACCCGCACAACACCAGTTGCAGAAGCACACATATCTCCTTCAATTGACCCCAAGTCATCATCATTAGACACTGAGGAGGGCTTCCTATTGGTCTTCTGATTCTCCCTAGAAGGTGTAGACATGGCATGCGAACCAACATTCTTGGTTAAAGTGGTGTCATTAGTTTCAGTCAAAGTACACCTCTCCTCCTCCCCAAATCCATTCACATTTGGATCAATAACAATAGAAATGGCATCATTCATGTACTTCTCATTGCTGGTACCTAGACTTTGCTTTTCCTGATCTTGATGTTCCCCTCTGAGTGAACCATTGGGATTTTCTCTCTCCACAATGCTTGGAAGAGGATCACTACCACCAACTATCTCACTTCTCCAAACTGTTCTAATTGTCTCTCTTGAAACTGGCAGTTTTTCTTTTTCCAGCCTTTTGAACTGATAACTAAAATATGTTGGAGGAGAGATATTTTTACTCCTCAAAAATATAGACATTTCTTTTCTTGAGAAAACATTGCAAGGAGGAACCTGAGCCTTCAAAGGATGAGTTTCCTCATAGAAGTGTCCTGCTGGTCTTGCACCATCATTGAATGCATCCTCTGATGAATGTCTGGAAAGGTCATTGTTGACCCCATAGACATTCAAGTCATCACTGTTACTTTCTGGGGAGACTGCTTTTTGATATACTCCATTGGGAGTATGAATTTCACTGAAAGCCTCTTGCAGGAACTCATCAGCCTCTTGTAATGGAGGCCCTTTTTCTGCAATGAAAGGCTCCTGTATTTTTCCTGTTCTATTTTCACCTTGTGGTAATACATTATTGGGATTGACTGATTGATCAGTGGCAAACCGTGATGCAAAGCGACTCATGTACTGCCCCCATCTAGAGACCATGGCAGAAGTTCTCCACACTCCTTCTTTGCCATGAAGATAGATGGGCCTTTTGCTACAATCTGAAACCAAAGAAGTGAACTTCTCAACCTGCTCCATGGAAGGTACCATCCCAACTTCTACTGGAATTTTTATTGATTCAACTTTCCCAGACAAAATAGCATCATCCATTGCTGCTTGATAAAAATTATCCTTAACGGTCTCTGCTCTAAGATCAACAATGGTCTTAACTCCTCCATCAATCAACCATTTCAGACCTTCCTCTGTTACCTGACCACCCCTCCAAAATGCTACCTCTGAATCTCTTGCCTGTGCTTCATCTTCAGAAGTGGAAAAATAAACAGTTTCCCAGTTTGCAAAAAGTGCTTGGCAAGGATGGTTTTCCTTACGTGGGAAACCCAAATCATAACAGACGTTCTTTAACCTCTGCAACTTCCTCCATATGTCCAGGCTTCGATGATCAGAAGGTGTCAAATAGTTTTCAAGGGCAATATGCAAGCTCTCACAACACCTTTTCATCTCACCCCTGAAAACAGCAAGTGGTGGAAGCTTATCCTCAACCACACCAGCATCTGCAGTCTGAAACACACTCATAATTGAGGACCTTCCAGAAAGAACATCCTCTCTTCCTTTGTTTAAAAGGGATATCATGCAACCAAGAACAGACACTATTTTGTCCTCCACTAATGGTTTTTCCTCAGGAGTGAAATCATATGAAACGCTACATTCACCAGTCAATGGATTACATAATGTGTCCATCAAAGCAGCATGAAGCATTTCAGCAGCTCTAAAAATTCTACAATATGCCTCAACTTCTGCAATATCCCCTGGAACTGGACCAACCCATGGTAACTGTGATACATCATGAGACTGGACTGTCTTCAATTCCTGATAAAGCAGTTTCAGTCAATGGAATGACAATATAATTGGAGATTATACTTTATCACAGTTTATTTTATACAAGAAACCCATTAGATCAGCGGATTACACCCATACAACAATAATGAAAATTACATGCTATTTAAACACAATAGTAAGCCAAGACAAAAATGTGGTGTCCAGAAAAATAAAATTACTTAAGATACTCTCAAAGAGCAACTAGAATAACTGCTTAATTCTTCTGTAGATTTTATTCATAGGTACAAGCATTGGGAGCACATAGCTAATTTACCTAAACATGGGTTGATCTCATGATGGAGTTTCATGAATTGCTGTCTACTACTACACATAGGTTTCCACGTGATGCTTGGAAAGATTGAGAAACTTCCTCCTCTAAAGCAATTCAGTGTTCCTTCATTCACATACTTAACAAACCCATATTGCAGTCTTAGAGAATAATGATTGCAAGTCAGTGCTTTTTGTCAGGCAAAATAAACTAGGCAAATTACCCGCATCAAAATTACACTCGAATTTTATCTACATGAAACCAATTTGCGCAAATAAATCAGCCTAAAGTTCTATGCATCATTTCATCGAACACCAATCATTATTCATTAAAAAGCGAGTACCAAAGGAAGATGAACTCCGATTGAAAAAACAAGGAGAGCCAAACGGAGTAGAACCCAAGTGAGGAAAACTGAGGGAGTGAAAGAAACGAGCTGAATTACCCGAGAGTCCAAATCCAAGTTGAGGGAGAAATAGTTGGATAGTTCCGCGGTGAGCTTGAGCCTCAGCCTCCTACGCCGCACCTCCTCCTTCCGGTGCAACCCAAACCCGAACCGGAACTCAAACGCATTGCTTTCCCGATTGAGCTTACGGGGTGTCAATCCAGCCACCGGAAACAACAGTCTCATGTCGCCGACACCACGTGGCGCACAAAGAGACATTTCACCATATATGCGAAACTTCAAAAATTTTCTGTCTTCTATTTTACTGTATTTATTTTCTGATGCGTGGGTCGGTTGTGGATGACGAGAAAAAGATACGTTGTGTTTTGATATTATCGAAAGCAAAAATGTGTCTGATATTATTGGTGATGGAGATAGTGGGTTCCTTCTTCCGTCGGTTGTTTGTTTTTTTTTTAATTTTTGTGGATCTCTTGTTCTGATTTTGATGTTGATGGCCACTTCATTGCTCCACTGCTGTCTCTTTTCTCTTCATGTGATCGCAGGAGGGTCTGGCTACCCCAACCAACTTTAATTTGTCCCTTAATTTTTTCTTTGTTTTTTTTAACTGTCCTGTGTCTGAGTATTTATTATTATTATTATTATTATTATTATATGATGAGAGATAATTATTTTTATTTATTATTTTATTTTATTTGTATATTATACTGTTTGAATTTAAAATTTTTTATTTTTAATAAAAAAAAATAATTACTGAATTATTTAAGTCATTAACGATATCAAAGTACTTTAAAAAGTCAATTCTATGTTAGTTTGGTACCTATAAAAGAATTAATTCTTAGAGTATTGAATTCAAAATTTGTATGGTAAATTATTAATGATTTAAATAATTTAATAATAATTTTATTTACAAAAAATAAGATATTTTAAATTTAAATCTTATAACTTATAAAATAAGAAATGAGAGAGAGGGTTGTTTTTTATTGTATAATTAAAATAAAATAATAATTATTA